TTTTCTGTATTGTTTGGCTCAATCATTGTAGCTGCTATGACTTACAATTAGCAAGCACATCAAGGTGTAGTTTTTATATTTAAATTTAACATTTGGATACTTTGGGTTTGTTATGTTATTAAAAACTTTTTTTTGCTTTGCAAGTTTCTTTTTTTTTATGTGACTTTCCTACACGCATTTGGTTCACTCTCTTGGGGGAGATTTTTAGATCTGAACTTGCTGGCAATACCTGCAAGAAACTAAAAAATACACAACAGGAGGCACACACTTAAAGGATTAGACACTGTATAAAATTTTAAACTGCAATCAAACAGGCTTCAATGTTCTGTACAGTTGCTCTCTTTAAATGTGATTTATTAGATTTTGATTGTATTGTGTTTCCCCCTTCCCTAATTTTTGATAAGGATTAAAAAAATAAGGGTACTAAAATATATTACACTAGCCCTGCTAATTTCTAATAATAGAAGCACATTGTATTAATGAAAAAATTCTCCATCTAAGAATAAAACTGGATATAGTATTTTTTAGAATTGAGAATGAATAATTATAAAAGAGTTCTAATATTATGGGTGATATCCTCGCATTTTGAAGAAAAAAAAAACACTAATCATTTCCTTATTCACATTTTACAAGTCGTCACCGCATAAATAAAAAACGTAAAATCCATGACAGTAACTGCCGTAAGAATAGATAGACGACAAAATCGCATGGATTTACAATGAAATAACGAGGATCGGGCTTTTCAATAAGTGGCAAAAAATCTATAGAAAAATATGATAGAATTATAAATACTCTAATGCACGATTCAAATTTCTCATCTTGTAAGAACTATATTGGGATCTTTTATAACCGCATGAAAATCAATAGCAATAAATGCTGAAAAAACAATCGTAACATCTAATGGATTTACGGAACTATTGGCATCAATTGTACACATTAAAAAGTGGTTATTTAAGTGAGCGATTAAGTGAATTGAATTTAACAAGTTAAAATGATAACAAAAAAATATAAAAGATATCAGTAGAAATTCAACTGTCAAAATTGTGAAAAAATAGTATCGTCACAATAAAGATGAATAATCAAAGGTGCACTTTGAATTTCTAGTTCCGTAAAAATATTATATGAAAAAGAAGTCTATTTTTTTTAATGGAAAAAAAAACGCGAAAATTAGTAGTAATAAGTAAAAACAAGAATTGATTAAAGATGTTATCTGCGAAAATCGAGCGTGTCAAAAAGTAAATACTTAAATGCACGGTTCGAACTTCACATGCTGTAATAATATTGTTATTTTTTTCAAATAAAAAAAATCACGAGAATATCAATAGTAATAACTGAGCAATAAAAAACATCGGAAATAAAAAAAAAAAACAAGTGAAAATTTGCAGCATATCTTTCGTCTCTTGTTTGCAAGGAAGACATTGCTTTTGAAAACAATTCTGCAGAAAAAAAGCATGCTATGAAAAGTTCTACAGAAAAAAAGAGCCAAAATTTTTTGTTTCCTAAGAGGAAAATACTTTGGCAAGAATTCTGTTCTACGAAAATATCACCATGATTCTACCATAGGATACACTAGGCAGAGTTATTTCAATCCCATAGCACTTACAGTTGGGATGAACGTTACCTACATGGGAATGATAGAAAGGGTTAGTAGTCACCTGCTCCAATTGTGAGATGGAACCAACTCTAACGTAGCATTTCTTGTTGTAACTGAAATGACGTACGATTTTCTTTGAATTTTAATAAAGTAGTTTATTTAAATGTATTAAGGGTCTGGTTTGGATTGAAAATAATCAGTTTAATATAACAGGACTTTTAGTTTAAGGCTGCTTAAATTGTAAAAAATGAAAGATTGTTTGAGTTTCCCATAATTATGTGTTCGGTTATGAAAGATGTTCAGCGTTCTTCCTTGTTCATTTTATAAAGCTTAACTTCTGATTCGTCCCATTTATTATTTCATTAATTCTTTTGCTGAGGAACCAAAATTAGTTGAGAAAGATGGAAATGCTGTTGAAGCTATTCATGTTGGTATGTAGCACCAAATATAATTAAGAACAGGGCTCGAAAAACCGCCCGNTTTCAATCCCATAGCACTTACAGTTGGGATGAACGTTACCTACATGGGAATGATAGAAAGGGTTAGTAGTCACCTGCTCCAATTGTGAGATGGAACCAACTCTAACGTAGCATTTCTTGTTGTAACTGAAATGACGTACGATTTTCTTTGAATTTTAATAAAGTAGTTTATTTAAATGTATTAAGGGTCTGGTTTGGATTGAAAATAATCAGTTTAATATAACAGGATTATTGATTTTTAGTTTAAGGCTGCTTAAATTGTAAAAAATGAAAGATTGTCTGAGTTTCCCATAATTATGTGTTCGGTTATGAAAGATGATACAATTTTTTCAGCATTCTTTGTTCATCTTGTGAAGCTTTCTAATTCGTTTTTCGTCCCATTTATTATTTCATTAATTCTTTTGCTGAGATACCAAAATAAGTTGAGAAAGATGGAAATGCTGTTGAAGCTATTCACGTTGGTATGTAGCACCAAATATAATTAAGAATATAAACACAAACAAATAATTTATTTTCTGAAAAGGATCATAATTATAGTAGGTTATAGAGAGTGAGAAAAAAAAGCTTCCCTTTTTTCCACAGGTTTTTTTAAAAAAAAAAAAGTTAAAGACTGCATGATTATCTTGTCTTTTATATGCAGGGTAACATTTTTATTAAGATTATAACACATTTTTTTAACCTTTTGCTTGCGGCTGATGCAATATGTGGACTACATGTAATGGTACACTGTAAGTAAAGGGTTGAAACAAGAAGTGGAAAAACACTTGGAATTGCAAGTTAATATGCATGTTAAAAGAATTATCTAAATCTAATGACTCATTATAGATAAAACAAAAATACGCAATTTACTAATCTACTACAAGAACATATACTCTATTTAAAATAAAAATATTATTAATTATCAATAAAAATAACAAACTATAATTTTTTTTTGTGTAAGAATGTTAAGTCCAGAACAGTTTTGAATTCGTAAATTAATGAGAGATTTTCATTATTAATCAAGATTAAATGTTATTAAAAGTTTTCTAAAGTTCTATATTCAAAACACAGTCTATTATTAAAAAGTTTAACTTTAATAATTACACAATTATACATCTCTATTATAGCTGTATGAAATTTAGCAACAATAAGTGAGCTTTATATAAATATTCAAAAAAGATACTGAGTTGTAATATAACATACACTTGAACATAGTACTTGGTTTCTCTTGTAAACTCATCACTTAATAATGCACAATATATTTAAATGCTGGCTGCATGAGGCATTAATGTTTTTAAGAATTCATAATAGTTGAGAAGCATTCCAATAAAAACTCTCATATTGTATATGAACATAGACTAAAATAAAACTATTGTTTTTTGACTGCAGTACATAGAGGGTTCAAATTATAGGCAGCAGTCTAAGTGCAAATGATAGGAAATAAATTATAGTCCATTAAAAGCTTTTCTGTCTTCAGTCATTGAATTTCAAATAATGTATTTTGATACTGCAGGCAAGAATCCAGTTAAAATTAAAATGTGGATAAGCTATGGAAGGCATTGTTTTTAACCAATTATATTTTAATTGAACTGTTACAGACCAATTACACATCAACTGCACTGTTACACCATTTTTAATTAATCAATAGCTATAATTAATTTCTTTTCATATGTGCTTTATCTGGCACATCTTAAAATAACCAACATTTTGTGATGTCTTTTAAAATATCTAACTTTTTATTGTCCTGAGAATCCTGGATACTTCATATGTATAAATAATCTCATAGAGTCTTATTATGAGAATTTTTAATGTTTAACACAATAAGAATTTCAAAGATATATAATTAACAACAAGAATTTCAAAGATGGATTAAGATATTCAGCTAATCTATAAGCTTAAGGAGTTATTTTTTTAAACAAATTTGTTCTTTTGTGGAAACGATTAAATATGCATTACCATATAAAATTCTCTATGAGAAAAAAAGATTAATATATTTTTTTAATATAAAAATGAAGTAAATAAAAATAATAAAGTAAATCAAAATTATAAAAGTAATTACATTACTTTATTTCGAACATAAAGAAATAATAAAGTTTTTAGTGTAAAAATAAAATAATATTTTAGAAATAGTTGTACTTTTTTAAAATTAACTCGACACATACATATATTAAAGAAATACTTTAGTCAATACAGGGCTTATTTCAAGTGCCTTCAAACTACTTGGTATAATATCAGATACCTTAAAAGGGTTCTAAAGCTTTGCATTGTAATTTTTCTATTATTATTATTTTTTTTTTTATATTTCAAATAGGTAAAAAATTTCTCAAAAGTTACATTTCAAAGAAAATAAATAAATGACATATTTTAATTTATGAAAAGGAGTATTAAGAATATCAATTATTAGAATTTCAATTAACTAGATTATTATTTTCAATTAATTAGAATATAAATTAATTTTAATAAAATCAATATTACGAATTTCAATTTAACTGTCCTTAAACTAAAAATCAAAGATGCTATTGCATCAAGTAGTTTATTTTCTATCCAAACCAGCTCCTTAATATACTAGTTAAATGAACTATTTAATTATAAAAATTTGAGGAGAAACATGTCACTTTATGTTCATTGGGAAATGTTATGTTAAGGATTCAGTTCAAGACACAGTTTGAGGTGCTCAGAGGGAAGGTCTAAGTCATCACTGACCCTTTTTATTTAGCACTTTTTCCTGCCAATTATAATAAATCAATGGATGATACATATTTTTCTTTGTTGCATTTTTTGGCAGCTTAATGTTAATCATCAATAATTAAAAGAACTATTTCATTAATTTTGTAAATAAATAGTGAATAATGGAGAAATAAAAAGAAAAAAAATCACAATTGAACACGATACAAATAGTTATAAATGCAAACCATGAATGTCTGTGCAAATGGATAAATAACTTGAAATTTAAGAAAAAATATTTATTTTACAAAAATATATACAACAATTGTTTGAATATATATCACCACTTACTAAAATCAAATTTACCAGATACATTCTTTTTCTTTTTTACATCTGATACACTATCATTTTTGGTGTTCAAGCTGAAATGAAAAAATTCATAATTTTACAGAGTAATTTTATTAATGAAATTAATTTATAATTATTATTGAGCCTTTTCTAAAATTTTTCTTATGAAAAGGAAAAATAAAAGCTCAGAAATTTTTATGTTTTTCTTGCTTTTGAACTTTTTTCTTAAGTTTTTGGTATAAATTTTCATTTTCTCTAATTTTTTTAAAATTAATTGAGAATTACAGATTTTCCCGGAGTTGTAAGAACCTTGAATATATTTCAATACATAATAGTGATGTCATATCAGTAATTCTGAATTGATCTCATGCAACTCCAAATACTAATTGTATAATAATGAATTATATCAATGTTGATACTTTTTTTTAAAATTAGGCAAGAAATACATTCTGTGAAAGCTTCCATTATAATTTATATATATTTCAATGATACATGAAAATTATATTTGTAACAAATAATCCATAAATTTTCCCTACTTACACGATTTTGGATTTTAGTATTTGGATGTATATCAGTTTGAATTCTTTTAATTCTACATTAACTCATATGAACTATTGAATGAATCGTGAACTTTTGTGCAGAAATAAAACTTAATGTGTTATGTGCTTATTAGAAGACAGATCTAAGTGAGACATTTCTGGGAAAGATCTCATTTAATTATTAAATATTAATTTATTTTGCTGAGCCATTATAACTCAGTGGATGAAGGTACTAAGACTTAAAATGTTTTTGGAGTGGAAGAAAGTACCAAGTGCATTTGGCAGCAATCAATCGTTAAGTAACCTTAAGTTGGTAGCAAATTAAAATGTTACAAGTGTGAATGCTGCTATGACATGAACATTTTAAATGAATATTAGGGATTCTTTTATTGTGCTGATAGGAAGCATGTGGACAAATAAAGGCAAAGCATAATCTTTATTTGCTTTTGTCAACAAATAAACTTTAAGGAACTAATTTACTCAAATTCACTAAAATGCCTCTTTAAACCTTAAATCTTTCACTTATGTTGTATAATATGGTAAAATATGGTTGTATAATATGGTTGATTGAAAATAAATTCTAAGTGGACTTCTAAAATTTAATGCCATAAATAAATAAAAAAAATATCTTACACTTGTGATGCATCAATATATTTCCCAACCCCTTGATGATATACTTTCAGTTTTTTAGTGCTTGGTTCTTTCTTGGCTATGATTGATTTTTCAGATTCTTTCTTCTCCTCTTCCCTTAGTCTAGCTAGCTAATGAAATCAGTTAAAAGGAAAATTANATCGGGACCATCGCTATTCCGGATAACTGATTTTTCCGGTTTTCTGAATCGCTACAAAAAGCCGTTTTTTTATTGTTAAACCCAACTGAAAAAAAAATATTTGAAAATAATCTTAAAAAGAAGAAAAAACGATGAAGTAATACACTAATGATTATTTCCAAAATAATGGTAAGGTAAACATCTTTCAAAAAAGAAAGAAAAATCTTAAAATCCTATGAGGAAAAAAACATATTTTTTTTTAAAAATGGCGGGAAAATTTATCGAATTTCTTTCCGGTTTTCTGATTTCCGGATAATGGGTTCTGTACTGTATTAATTTAATAGAGAATTTATCAACACAAGACAGGCATCATGTTTTGCCATTAAATTGGCAGATCTTTTTAGTAGTAAAAAGACTACTTAAACTCTGCGACTACTTTATAAGGAAAAAATGCATAATTTAAAGAATATAAAATTTTTCATAAAATAAATAAATAAAAAACTATAACTTACAAGATCATCTATCTCTTGAAAAGGATCAACAAATATTTGCACTTTTAAGATTTCTATTTTTTCCTAAAAAGGTACAAAATTTAAAATCAAGTTGCTTTAATTTATACATTTTTGGTAAATAGTATAAAAGAACTGAGTGACTTTCCAACTCGGACAGACAATAACACATAATACAAATAAGATTACAAGTTATGTTTGTAACGGTCTTAGTAACAAGCTACAAGCTAAGTTTTTGCAGAATAAAATATTTGCACACATTTGGCTGTAAGCATTAAGGTTCTTTTGCAATTTTGGGGCACATTACTATGGGGCAATTAATTTATTTACGAATATCATATTTGCAGGCTTTAAAAGCATATAATTCAGTTAAAAAAATGAAGCAGCCCTGATACTTTTTATTAAAATAACTCTAGATGACATTTTACACTTCTCCAGTTTTATTAACTTTCATAATTCTATTTCTTTTCAAAATTAAATTTTTTTTTTCTGGACAAGACACAGTTTTTAATTTTATGAAAGTTATTGACAATTAGTGGTAAATAGTGATAATGCCTTTCCTTTGTCCCCTTTAGTTTGATAAAAACAAAAATCACAGTTGGAATTGCAAGCAGTCCTACTTATATGTTGGAAAATGTGTTCCTGAAAAGTTTATGCATAAATGCTGCAAAGTTTTATGCATAAATGCCATGAAGAAAAAAATGCCATTTAACTAAATATTAACTCTAGATTTAGCTTATGATAGGAGTTGCTTTAGTCTGCATATAAAATACACCCAGTTATTGTGGTGCCCTTTAATATATTTTAATTTGTGTCTTCTTAAGTAACTGTTTTTGGTTGAAATGGCATGTTAGTTTAATTGCAGAAAAAATTTAACTAAGTAGAAAAAGGACATAGTTATGAACAGAAATTTAATTCTAGAAAGTGTGGTTAAATTAGAAAATAAGTAATAATGATAATAAAAAAATACTTACTACAGGCTTATCTTCTTTGTCTGTCAGAATTTTTTCCATTCTATTAAGAGTATCCAGTCCACCCACAACTCTAAAAGCATTAATTGGTATTATTATTGACATCATTAATAATCACATAAGGTGTGACGATTAAATATCAATGATTACGTTTCGGATTATTTATTGTAGCAACAATTATATTAAACCTTTATAGGGCTGTGGAAAGTATACTTTCCACCTCTGATAATTTCAGAAAATCCAAATAAATTAATGAAACGAAAAAAAAACATTGCAGAGCTTTGTTTACATAAATGTGGGTAGCAGTAAAGGTTAGTGTGGAGTCAAGAATAGAGGCTAATGCTAGGGAGCTACATATTCTCTCTTGAGCACTATGTGCTGGTTAACTGAATAATTTCTTATTGAGTTTATTTGTAGTTATAAACACATAATTTATTTCAAGTTTATAGCTAATTCTTAACAGTAGTAAAATTTTAAAAATCTCACCTTTTTACTTAAAAAAAAAAATAGTCATAAAAATTAATTTTAGAGAATAAGTTGAAGGAACTTAACATTACTAAAAATAATGGCCCTATAAAGAGTTAAAGTAAGATTGTATTTTGTATGCTTCAAAATGTATGAATTTACTTAGTAAGAAATGTAAATGTAATTATCATCAATAATTTTCCAAAAACATCAAAACTAAAAAATTAGAAAAGCAACAACTTAGAAGTCTGCAATTTCAGGTATTTTTTTCATAAAAAATTTATTATTTGGTGTTGAAATATTCACATGTAGTTTCAGAAGTTGAAATCATAAAAGAAATTTGTAAGTTTTGCTAGAAATTTAAATATCATTGATTGTATTGCAATAAAAGTTAGTGTAATTTTATAATTACAAACGTACTATACAATGGAAAACAAATGGTTTTTATTTTTTAAAGGATTTTCTAAACTTCTTTATTTTACGAATTTGAAGCTTTGTTTAAGTCTCTAACAAAATAAATTCATTTTTTAAAATTTTATAGTTTTAAATAAAATTGCATCCCAAGTAAGAATTAGTGTAAGGATATGGCAACTTAATTTAAATTTTATGATAGTTACAATGGAAGTTATGGAAATTTCATATCAACATTTTTTACAATTTACAAAAAAACAAACATAGACAGTATAAATTGATGTTAAACAAACATTAATTAGCAGAAATATAACCTAACTTTATATTAATCATAATATGTTTATGGAATCCTTACATCAGTTATAAAATATGGATAATATAAAAATGTATTTCAAATTTTAAAAGATTGTTAAGCAGTATTTTTTATTTCATTTCAAGGTAGTTTAAAATGTGCAAGACAAATATATAATGAAAAGCTACAGTATATTCCTGCTTATTAAGGAATAATCAGGAACATGAATGATTCAAAATCATTTATTTGACAATTGAATAAGTTATACTTATTGTTTTTCAATAATGTTAAAAATATTTAAATGCAATAGATGATTGTAATTAGTTTAATAAAATACTTTTTAATATTGAAAAATCATAATTTTTAAGTTACAAATGGATTGATTTAAATTTCATAATCATCTATAATTTTCAGTAAATCTTACAACTTCTCAATGATTTCTAGTTTTTACAAATCAAAGTCAAAAGCTCCCACCAACAATGATTTAACCTGCAATTATGAAGTGAAAAACCTGATTTCATTCACATACTACAATACATAGAAAATAAAATTTAAAAAATAAATAAAAAGTTTCATCCTAAAATATATTTTTCACCATTATTATAAATAACTCCCACATGGATATTCAGGCATATACTGTAAACGTTTGAAAAAAAAGGCATAGTAAAAAAAGATACTCATCTTCTAGCTGGGTACAAAACTAAAAGCTTTGTGTAAATACGATTGATACTCGTCTTCTGGGTTAGGTACAAAATAACGAGGGTATGCACTTAATTACTGATAAACAGGAGCCCAAAACTGGGGCATATGTTCAGTGCTTATTATAAAATCCAAATAAATAAATAGAAATAGGGTCAATATGTTCTTAATATAATGAATTGAATGAAATAAAGTTGTTAACGAATTTACCATTGTGCTGTGTAAAATATATTTTTTCCATTTATTGATGTGAATTAAATGCATGAAAAATGAAAATCCACTGGACAAATAAATACCCGACTGCACCATTGATGGCTAAGCAAGTTTTGCTTGTTGTCTTGAGCAATCGTTGGCAGGGGAGGGGGGGGCATTTTTTTCTTTCACTAATTAGAAATTTCTAAAAGTTCCTTTCAATATTTCAGACGAAAAAAATAAACTTTCATCAATTTAAATTTCCCAAAGTTAAAAACAAGAAAAGGAAGAAATTAATTAATCTTTTTGGCAGATTTTTTCCCCCTATGCATGAATCTTGGAGAACTTTTGTGACTCTTCGGTATAATTTAATCTTCCTCTCAAAAATTGGGTCTCTACAATGCCCATGCTTGGTATACAGCTAAAGGATGATACCACAAAACATATCATAAAATTAGAATTAATTTAACAAAGCATTAATTTTCAATAAATTGTAAAACTTGTATAACATTACTTTCCAAATATTGTATGCTTCTTATCCAGATGTTGACATGAACGATATGTAATGAAGCTAAGAAAAAAAATTCCCAATTAACACTTAACAAAATTATATATGAAATAAAATAAAAGAGCATGAAAGAGAGACTAACAATTGGGACTTATTTGTATTTGGTCCAGAGTTTGCCATGCTAAGGATTCCTCGACCTTGATGACTTAGGTGGGGGGCAAATTCATCTTTGAAAGTTTTCTTCCAAATTGATTCTCCACCATTACCAGTTCCAGTTGGATCACCGCCTTGTATCTGGAAAATAACGAAAATTTAATAATGAACACAGCTTAATTTTTTAAAAAAATATATAGATTACAACAAACAGCAAAACCGGTTAAAAAAAAATTTTTCAGAGCAAAGAAAGAAAAGGATTCTCAAATGATAAAATTTAAAAGTGGGTAAGCTAAAATTACTTTTTAAAAAATCATGAATGCTTAATATAAAAAAATATGCTTAATTTCTCAAGCTATAAAATTAGTAAATATTAGTTATCATAAGTAGAAATATTATAATATTAATAATTAGAACAAAATCTAGCCATTTGAAGCTTTTGTTTACATTATAATACAATCAAGATCACCAAGAGCTTTAAGATAATATATAGATATTTTCATGAAATTTAACTTTATTTCTAAAAAAAAATTTTTTTTTTCTGTTTTATTTATTAATTTATATATTTTTTAAATGTTTCTAAAGGAAAATTGGTAGCCTGTGACAACTTGTAAACCAAAAAAAAAAGTAGTTTTTTTTTCTTTCTTAAAATGGTTATTTTAGTATGGTAGAAATAGGAGAAAAATAGGTAACAAGAAAATAAACTACTTCAAAGGGAAAACTTTTTAAGCAGGAAATTCTTAACTGTGTTTCTTTGTTACAGTTTTTTTTTTTTGAAGAATATGAAAACATTAAATATTAAGGAAACAAATTGAACAAGATGTATACTAACCATAAAATTTTTAATTGATCTATGAAAAATAGTGTTGTCATAGTATCCAGTTTTGCATAATTTAATAAAATTGTCACAAGCTTTGGGAGCAATCTCACAATGCAGTTCCAAATTTAAGGGTCCTAAATTTGTTATCATTTGAGCATAACCCTTCTTCTTAACTCTGGCATATCGTACAGTGTTATCATCCAGGACAGCTGTAAAGAAAAAAAGAATTTTTTTTTTAGAGGCAGCACTTGATATGACATTATGAGACAGAGTGATAATACTTCCCATAAAGATGATAAAGACAATAAAACAGGAAGGAAAAAAAAAATTTTTTAATACATAAAATTTTAATTTTAAATGCAATACATGTAACAGGAACTGAAAATATATTAGGGTAATTGTCAAAAACATAAAATTTAAAAAAAAAAAATGTTTTTTATTTATTATTTTAATAAACTTCAAAGTTGCAATTTTTTTTAGTTCGAAAAATTACAATTAGTAATTACAATTTAGTAATTACAAGCAGTAATTATAATTTTGATCATAAAAAAAACATTTCCTCCACCAAAAAAAAAAATGAAACAAAAAAAGTGGAAAAGTGGCTTTGATCTATGTATATTTTATCATAAATTTAAGGCACATAAATTGCGTAAAGTCAAATATCTAATCAATTTGTTTTATGTATAAAATGTAGTTGTAATTTATGTTTTTTTTGTTCAGGCCTTGGGTAGAAAAATAAATTTTATTTTGACGTACTTTTAATACATTTTTATAGAAATTATGTTTTTTTAACATAGTGAATGACAATAAAAATTATTCAAAAGAATCGTAAGTACTTGAAACAGTCTTTCAAATCTGTGCATTTACTTAAGAGAAGTGATATTCTTCATGGAATGTATAAGGAAGAAACAAAAGAACTAACCAGCTTCATGAAATGTAGATGGTTCAACAGCAGTGGAGGTACTACTAGCAGCGACAGCACCAGTGGAATAGTGTGCAGCATTATATTTATCAGCTTTCACTTTCTCCTCTGTTTTCTTTTCCTATAAATGAGAGACTTTAAACTCAAAAGAATATATCTGAAAAAAAATGTATTATATATAAATATATATAATAAACAGCTGAACCTTCATTTTACACTTTCTGTCTGACTAGCCTTAAAAAACACATGAAGCAGGATAATGTAAAATCAAGGTAAAAAAAAAATCTAAGCACATTTTTCAAAACTTATAAGATGAACTACTAGAAAAAAAAATGTGTTTTTTGTTTTTAGACACAACTTCAAGAATATTCCTCTCAATGCTTATTATTGTTTGCAAATTTGCTTCACTGTTTACATTCGTTGAAATTTCAGAGTTTTCAAACTCTTGATCAGTTGTGGGTATATCCTAGGATGTTTTTTGTTGAGCTTCATCGTTTTTATCACTATCATCCGGAGCAAGCATCATAACAGATATTGAAAAGTAATGGGATGTGTGATGCAGTCAATGAATGTGCCATCGACTTCAGAAGATCTTTAGCTTTGCAATTTTATTCCAATAGTCTAATGTTCCAACTGGATACCGAGAAGCAATTAACCCTGAGACGCTTTATTAAATCCATTTGTAATATCATATAAAAATATAAAGCATCACAAAAGGTTTACATATTGTATATTTGTAAAAAAAAAAAATCTTGTGAAATTTCTTTATTAGGTAAAGTAAAATTTGTTGATGTATTGGTAATATTTTATTTGATATAAGCCTTCCAAATCATGAAGGGAATTGTGAAACACTCTGTATTATATTAATAAAATGGAAATACACTAATTAATGACACGCTTACAAACATTAAAAGTATTTGTATACAAAAAAGGAAATGTAATGGTAATTATGTGAGAATGCAGAAATATATTATTTGAGTTGAGTTAAGGGTTGAATGTTTTAGCACAAGATCTAGAATAGGCTATACTGCTCCAGCTCTGAATAATAAAATTCTGAATAATAATAAGTAAGCTAAATGGTGCTATAAGCTAAGTCAGATTAAAAAAAGACGAAGAAAAGAGAAGAAAAGAATAGATTGGTAGAGCACTTCGGGGTCTTGAGACTCATATTTACAGAAAAAAGCAACCTTCTCCAAGTTTTTTTTATATTTGTATGTTCAGATAAACTCAGAATCAAAAAATATTCTTACAGTTCGTAATCTCGAGTGTTTTAGCATTCAGACTCGCAAACAAATTGTGTACAGAAAATATATTCAGGCAGCAACAATTAAAAGAGATACATAAATATATATTTACTCACTGAAGCTTTATTAGCAGATTCCCTTTTCAATTCTTCTAAAACATCTCTAGTGACAGAATTTACGCTTTTTAAATTGTGATAAGAATCTGCATCTTTTTCTCCATTTTCTGCAAGTAATGCAAAATATCTAATTTACAAATCATAAATATAAATAAGGAAATAAATTAGAATAAAACTGTTTAACATATAAAGAAATTTAAAATATGCGTTAGACTCGTCTGAATTTCACAATGCTTAGAAAAGAAATATGTAAATGAAAATTTATGAAGGAATTTAAGAAAAAAATTAAAGGAAGAATTTTAAAACATTGATTTACAGAAGTTTAAAATTGCAATTCTTTCTAAATCTCTGAAAGGAGGGCAGTTAAACGTAATGTTAAGTGCCTTTACAGAATGAACTTATTGCTGATAGCCTTCATTATCTTAAACTTAAGCATTAAAAAAGCCAGTAGCAATAATTGGGTAATAAGGGCACTCCAATTTCTAAAAAATTAAAAGCTTGAGCAGTTGGCTGGCCTCTAAGAGATCTATTTTTGGAAAGATAGCCATAGTGAAAGAATAAATGCTGCTATTTTTTTCTTTTGCAATAATATTTTTTTAAAGAAGCTTCAACTCACCATAAATTAAAAAAAGAGTCATTCTTTAGCATCTAGTGAATGTTAAAAAGGTACATTGTGTGTTTTTTTATGAAGTTAATTGTCAACAAACCAAACAACTTTTAAATACTACAATCTTTTGTACAAAAGGTTTACAATTGAAAAAGCCAAAATTTTATTTACTTAGAATTCTTTTCATTTTGTTGAATGCGTACATTCATTTGTTTTGCAGCCAGTATAATTGAAGAGAGTAAAGAAATGCATACAATCAAAATGTACCTTTTTTTAAAAAAAGAAGTTTTTAATAATTTTTTCTAGGGATCCATACTGAAATTATATTCCCAATATTTTAATCTTGATATTATTTTTAAATAAATGAGTTTTCAAAATGTGCGTAATTTTTTTTCCGCATATCTTAAATAGTTGCAGCAAAACATGAAAGAATACACAAAAAATGAAATAAATATTAAAGTCTCCAAACTTTAAAATGCTCTTCTGTCTGAACTTTCAGAACTATAATTATCACACTCCCTTTAAAATGAGGAAAGTAAATTGCAGTTACTCTCCACATTTTAGGGGTACATTTAAAAAAGTTTTAATACCTGTAATGTCCAATATCATGATCACAAATTAATTAGCACATTTTAGGTTAGACGTCTAAACATTAGGAATATTAGCAATAGAATTAGAGCTTCTTAGTCCAATCATTAGATCAAAAATTAGAAAAGTATTCAATTTTATATTTGAGCATTGCACAATTAACTTGACACAGCCATATTAGAGAAACTAATAAAGCAAAAAAGTAATAATGCATATTAGTTGGAAATACTAATTTTTTGATAATTCAAGAATTTCTTGTGAAAAACGAAGCAGCTTCATTCAAATAAGGATTTTTTAAAATTAGAATTATAAATTTTTTATAGGAAGACTATAGAAATAAATTTTTATAGGAAAATATTCTAATATTTTAACTTTCAGGACACACACTCAGCTAACTTTTAATGAAGAACTATGCAAATAAAACAGATGTAGAAAAAAGCCAATTTTATTTTATTACCTTCAGACACAGATAGCTTATTTTTTACATGGTGGAAGTTGTTAAAGTTGAACTTCTCCAGATTTGATGGATCCTATATGAAAGAAAACTTCCCAGTTAAGAGTATAAACAATTAAACTTACATTAATTATTTAAAGAAAAAAGTAATTATTTTATAAATACCTGAATTGTAATGATATCATTTCTTGTAAATGGTACATCTGTAATAAGATCTTTGAAATTCTTTGTTTTCAGATTTAGTTGATCAATAGCCTTAAAACAATATATATATATATATATATATATATTTTCCACTTGCCATTGCTCACCTGGCCTCGGAATTGTTCGCGCAGTTATCAGATCGCTTCACTCGTTCATTTCACGTGTCGTCCAACCCACAGGACGAATCACTGATTAAGCAAGCAGTGTAAAATTAAATTATAGTGGATTGATATTCGTTCGAAGAAACATAACTTTATTATTTTAAAAATTAATAGGAAATTTAAACTATGACATATGGTTGGTTCATCTTGAGTTCTATGACATATGGTTGGTTCTATGACATATGGTTGGTTCATCTTGAAACATAAGGGTACGCGGATGCCAAAATATCTCAATTCCACTGCTAAAAGTTTTAAAAAGTTTCAATCCTTAAGGCAGAACACCACTGCGATTTTCTTTTACAAAATCTATTTAAAGAGAATTTATGAATTTTTATAATTTAATGAAACATATATTTACTGTCAAACTCGTTTATTGTGCATCAAAATTTTATAGGGCTTAACGAAGTAGGGTTGCCACAGAAAAAATGAACAAAATAGTTGCTTTTAGTAGCCTAAAACATGAAAATAGTAACCAAAAACTAGGAAAATAGTTGCCTAAATAAGAACAAAAATTCATCAAAAATATGACTAAAATTTTGTTAATGACTTAATTGTCATATACCATGATCCATTCAGCCAAGTAGGTGGCAAATATGATAATTTTTATATAAGCGTATATGTTTATATACAGGTTGATTCTAAAAAGATGGGCAAAATTTTAGGAAGTGATAGTACACACCCAAGCAAACAATTTTTATCAAAGAGTGCATGGTCGAAAACAAAACGCAAAACCGCTAGAGGGAGTCAAAGTTTATATTCCTATATGAGGNTTAATTTTTTTTTTTTTTTTGGAGAGGGAGCATATTGTCGATTACAATACAATACCTTAAAATCCAAAGTAATTAAGATAAATATCTACAGTTAGCAGTATAAAATACATAAGCTGTACTAAAATATATTTTAAAATTTTCATTACATATTTTTGCAAAAGTTTAATAGTTTTCCCAATAGATATACTAAATTGAATACAAGATCTCCAGTGCACAATACAAAAAAGTTACACTTTAAATGCTTTTTAGCTTAATGATCCGATTATTGCACTACAAAATGGGAACTTCATGATTAGTCAAAATACACTAATCTATTACAGCAGACAAGGGGTGTAATCAAGACCAGGGTGTGTAAAAAATCAGATAAACCAGAATTTACTAGACCAATGGATTTAGAAGTAACATCCCACATTTGGCTCTGAAAATGTAAGCTGATGGCAACAGGGGTGAGAGAGATATTTCTCGAAATGGTGCGCATATTCAGATATCTAATAGTGTAATTGATATAATAGTGTGAGTGAGATTAAAAATACTAAATGCTGTTCTGTATCTGGGTTTGAACTTATTGCAATCTATAAGGGACTATAATTCAATAACATGACTACTGAACTTGTCTTCATTGACATTTGGATTTTAACAGATAGTTGCAGTTAACAGTTTTCAATGAATGATTGTTCGAGACAAGACAAGCTTGAATATTCTAGATCTTATAGTACGATCTTCTTCAAGACACTCTATGAACTTTCGATGGGTTTCATCTCCCATGTTGGATTGAATGTTAATGAGATAACTAGTAGCTTTGCCAGGACTGTCTCTGCCGATCCCTTGCAGGGCAATGCTTGTCTAACTTACACTGAAATCTCGTCAAACAAAAAGATGGAACATTTTGGACAGTCCCGTCAGCTCAATCAAGGTATTTTGGAAAGAGATTAGCCAGTGTCACCAGCTCAATATTCCTAGGAAACAACAGGTGGCTCTCCGAATTACCTTTCAACAAGGCGAATCTTTTCTGTCTATCATTGGTGCAAGGCAGATCAGGCCTTCCCCAATCATATTCTTAAATGCTTAAACTTTATTGCTCTCAAGATTTAAAACAATTCTTTTTTTAGTTTTGGACTTTTTTTTTTTTAAAGAGATTTTTGGTTTGATGCAAATGGTTTAGTTTAACAACAGAAGAGACAATAATTCAAATTATCACCAAATACAAAGCAACTTTTTCTGAATAAATTCTTTTTTGCATCATGAAAGAGAGAACGTAACAGTAACTTGAAGTACATGGCCCCGAGTATTTTTTTTTTCCAGAAGATTGATTAAGAGTTTGTTAGCTTCTTAATATTTTTCTTTTCTTTTTAGAAAATGCCCAGTTTTGGTACAGATAATTGTATTAGTTTTAGAATAAAAAAATAATCTGTTTCAATTAGTTAAATTATTTGTGCTTTTATATGTAGTTGCTCTGCACTATTTAATAATTACATAGCATGAAAAAATTCAATTTGGGTAGAAAACTTAAATAATAATCACACATAAATAAAATATTAAAAAAAATAATGAAATATATAAATCACTATCAGGCAAAATTTCATCAGCAATTTCCAAAAAGAAGGATATGGTATGCTTTGTGCTACATAGATTAAAGCAAAGAAACATTCTTAAATAAAGTGTAGAAAAGGACAAATAAGAAAAAATCAAATGATATGAACGTTTATGTTTTTAAGTCTTAAGTTACAAAAAGGTGGTAAAGAGAAGGAGTTAACACGGTAAAAATAAGACAAACTTTCCCAAAAAGGCCCGTTTACATCAGAAAATTCAATTTGGGTAGAAAACTTAAATAATAATCACACATAAATAAAATAGTTAAAAAAGTAATGAAATTATTTTTTAATATTTGTCCTGTTTATATACATATACACGCATATANACAATTATAACATAAACAGGGTATATTTTGTGATGTTCATTTCTGCATTTTATTTTTGTTTTCTTCACATTGTTTTTTGCTTTAACATCATTGATTATTAGAATAATATCAGACAATACCAACATAATAATTTTGCGAACTAAAAGAAATCTATACTTATATATTAGGATAAAACAAAAATGTCCCTACATAAAGAATAAAACAAAATCAATAGATATTTATATTATGCTTGTTAAAGGTGATTTGACGATATGTGACAACTGGAAAGGAATCACTTTGTTAAATGTATGCAGCAAACTTTTAACTAGAATAATGAGGAAGGAAGGAAAAATGCAATTGACAAAAGCCTGAAACCATAGCGAGCAGGTTTCAGAGCTAACAGATCATGTGTCGACCACATTGCAATGTTACGGATTATTGTGGAACAATCTATTGAATGGTAATCAGCAATGTATTTAAATTTTATAGATTTTGAAAAAGCTTTCAACAGTTTACACAGAGAAACACTCTTTAAGCTGTTGGAATTCTATGGAATTCCTGATTGTTTTGCAAACATTATCAAAAAAATATATAAAAATTAACAATATACAAGCTATCCATGCCGGCCAACAATCAAAATCCTTCAAGGTTGATTTAGATGTTAGATAGGGCTGTATACTTTCACTAACAATCTTTTTAATTGCTATTGACTGGATTATGAAGAGAGTATCAGAGAAAAAAAAATGGGTATAAGATGAATATCTTTTTGACCTTGATTTTGCAGACAACTTATGATTACTGACCAACACATTTTTTTTTTATCTTCAAAAATGAATAAATTATAAAACGCGTAGGAAAAAAAGTTAAAAAAGAATTTATTTAGGATTTTTTTTGTTGGTAATCCTTATCAATTTTTATTTCTTGTCTTTTATTCATGAGAATCAGACAGCAAGTTACACTGAAATGTTCACGATAGAATTATGCTTAGTTAAAACAAGTTAAGCACACTCTTAATCGCCAGTTGGTGGCTAAAAGAGTCATGGAGGTTCAGGCTCCACAATTTCAATCAAGACTACTCACTTGATGGTGGCAATGAGGTTAGCATTGCACATGGGCTGTCTTTATTTCCAGACAAGCAAGTGGGCTTCAAGATAGTACAGTCTTATGCTTAATTATGCAACTTAAATTATGAATACAGTAAGGAAATGTCAATTATTATTTAAGTATAGTGAAAAAACTGAAATGTAAACAGTAAAATATTGATTCATTTTGTTACAAGAGAAATATATATAATTTTGTTACAAGAAAAATATAATTGTAATAAAATAAAATTACCTCATAGGAGAATACATTGCCTGTAGTTTTAATGGCAACAATGTGGGAGTTTTCATTAAAAACTTTAAACAAGACTGGACAATGGTAAAATCCATCAGAATTTTTCGTAAAATTTAGTTTAATTAAGGTCTTTGAATCCAGGGGCTGAAATTAGGAATAAAAGATCTGTATAAAAAATAGGGATTAAATGAAAAAGTTAACATCTGAATAGAAAGAGAGACGATTATCTTTTAAAATTAAACATATTCATTTGATAAACATCATATAAGTGCATTATTTGTTATAACCATTAATACTGGACATTTACCAAGATTCTAAGAGTTCCTGATAGAATCTACTTTGATAATAGCTAACCACATTCAAATTCATAAAACTAAAAATGCTAATTAGAGAGACACTATTTTTGTTGTCAGGAAACATGTCCATTATATTTTTACACCACAAATAAAATTTGCAATTGATTAAATAAAAAGGCTGGAAATTAAAAAAAAAAGAAGAAAAAAAAGCTGCATAATATAAGAAGTAAAAATAATAATAAATATGCATTTCATTAAAGTTTATTTACAATTATTTATGATATTTAAAATATTACATGAAAGCAAATTCTTTTATATGATAGCGATAATCCATATTGTCTAATCTTTCACATTAGCGATCCAAAATGATCAACGTGTATAGTCAGGGGTATATTACATACATACAAAATTACTTTTAAAATTATATTTCATATTCATGAATAAAATAAGTTGAAAACTGAAGTAATAATTCTATAGTTCAATTTTTATTATTTTCTGAGGTTTGAATAGCATGAATTTTTCCATTTCTATGTTTTACAATGATAGATATAAAATTATGAAAATGTAGAATAATAATTAAAAATACTAGTGAAAGAAAATCAATAGAAATAGCAACTTTTTAACAAAAATAAACACAAATGATCGTTAAAAACTAATAGATTATTAATGATGAGAAACTACATGTTTACCTTCCCAGTTGCTGGATCAATGTGGTATTTCTTGAGAAAGGGTATAATATGCCTGTCAAAAGATAAATATGGTTAACAATTTCATTAAATAAAACTTTTTTCTAATTCAGTAAGATATACACATTATAAGTTCTAATAAATATTTTCATTTTTCAAAAATGCTAACTAAATAGTATGAAAACAATTCCAAATGATTTAATTTATTCTTTTTTGCTAAGTTCTGCTTCTCATACAGTCCAAAAATTTTAATTTAATCTAAATAAAACTTAACTATTAATTAATAAAAAATACTATTTTGAAATTGGAAAGCAAATAAAGAAAGTGTAATAATAAAAAATTTTGAAAAAAAAAACTTTAAAAACAATTTAATTTTTAGAATAAGCTCACAAAAAAAAGAAGAAAAAAGCTTTAACAAATTTGAAACATTAAAATGTGTTACAATTTATAATTAAATGTAACTTTAATAATGAAAACATAATAAATATATAAAAACATTTTTAATCTTACAAAATACATAGCTGCCAACAAGGATAGGAAAAAAAATCCTGTAGATTTTACGAAACAATATAAATTTCGTGATAATTGCTGCGAAATGCACTAAATATTTTACACATAGGGAATTTTAGGAATTTTTAGAATCATCAAAATAGAAAAACTGCAATGTTTCCCAGGTATGATTAACATCAAATAAACTTGCAAAAATTTCTGCATAAAAACTTATAATAATATAGTAAAGAAGTGATTAATGACTAACATAAGATCATAAACAACTCCTTCAGGTGTACACAATGGGTGTTCAAATGGTTGCAGTGAAAGTGCACAATGATCAAATGGAAGTCGCCTGAACTCAGCTCCAGCAGTATTGGCAGCTAAATTGGGGAACAGACAAAAAAATTAAATTATTAATTTAAGTTCGTTATCAAAGATATTATTTTCTATAATGATTTCAGATATTTGTCATAATGAATCATGCACATTATTTAATTTATTCAAATTGAATACAAATTAATAAATTCGGACCAAACTAAATTATGTAGATTGCTCAATTTTTAGAAGATTTTATTGATTTATTGTGTAGTAGTGTACAAGTGCAAATTATTTAGAGTGATTCCATTTTTACAAAAGTTTCATTCAGAGTTTTTAAAAAAGAAATTCCAGTTCAAACAAAGTGAATAAAAAAAAAAATAACGCAAGTAAATCGATGTATTAAAAATATTATATGTATTAAAAAAATGAAGTATAAAAATTTATAATTAATATTTTACTAAAATGTCTTTCTTCAATTCAAGTACAGTAATCAACAAATATTAAACACATTTTTGAATTATTACAAGACACTAAATGCATGATGTTAAAAAAAATAATAAAATAAGAAGTTTGCTACTTCATAGTTTTGGGACTTATGTTAAACAAAAAAAAGTTCCCGGAGATTTGCTAGAAATACAATAAATAAATAAATATTTTAATCCGTAAAAAATATTATATTAACAATCTAAAATAAATTGGTTTAAAACATCCCAAGAAACAAGTTTAAGACAATTTTTGTGAAGTATATTTAAAAAATTTTTCAGTTGTAATTCAAAGAGAACTATGTAAAAAATTCATGTATGACTCTATATTCAGATAAAATCATTCTGATATTAAGAGAGCATATTTACAAATTTAATAATCTAGCAATTCAAAAATTAAGAAAACAATAATTGTAGGGAAATATTTTTCTGACATTATCATATTCAGGAATACTTAAAAATTACTAACAATTATAACTAAAAATTGCTTTGTTTCATATAATAAGTTTTGAAAATAGGGCTAAAAAATGTAACATGGTGATAAAAATGATCAAACCGTAACCATCTTTTTTACTGAACTATGGCATTGCCAATGTTTCAGAATTTTAAGAGTTAATATCTTTTACTACCTACACTATGTGGTTGCAGATCAAAGAAGTTAGTAATAATAATTTATCACCCAGAATAAGTAAGATATACAGTAACAGTATAATGCCATAGCTGGCTACTCAAAATTAATAAATATGGTAATACATAAGATTCACACCAGCAATGAAAATTTAGATGTCCAAAAAATTAATATGGTAGACGTACTTTAGAAAAAAATATTACACTTTACAATTTCATAATTCATGCTATGGTACTCATCAAAAGTTATTAATTGCCACCTATAACACCCTAAAACTAATTAGGTTTATTACCCCACAATGATTAAATATTAGAATTTTTTAAAATTAAGTAAAACAAAAAAGTTTAAATAATATTAGTAAATAGATTCAACGTACAGATCAAAATGCAGAGACCAAATAAATAAATGAGGAAAACAGGTAAGTAAAAACTAAAAAAATATTATAATAAAAATTATCTAAATTTTATGGATGAACAACTACATTGTCAGTACATGAATGCAAAGCAAAGCACAACATGTAAATTTGTAATTTCAACATTTAAAATTTTTTGAATCAGCACTTTCAGTTATTCCAGTTGGAAAATAACTATTTTTCGTTATTATTTTGTGATTTCCAAACATATTTCAAGGCGACAATTTTGTTCCCCATGCATATAATTTTAGTGACATTCGTAGAACAATTGTCGACGATTGTCACGATGTCGTCATACTGGCATGAACCCTAGTAATGCAGCACATGTACACTTAACTGTAACAATAAATAAAATTTCCCAATCAAGGATATATTTAAAAATGTTGTTTGTATAAATACTCTGTTTTTTCCCTCCATAGAACTGACTCCATTCTGTAGCTGTTAAATACCTAAAAAGAATAAAAAAAATTTAAGATATTAGACAATATTAATAAATAAAAGCATTGATAATTTTTGAAAATAAATACTTATACGTACTATTAAATTACAAAATGCAGAAACTTACATTTTTTCTGCATTTAGTAAAAATCAACCTTTAAAAAAGCAATGACTAAATTTTTTTGATTAAGTAAAAATTAGCAAATTTAACAATATTGGTATCCTTCAACATTGAAATTGTAAGATAACTTACTTTCCATAAAACAATAAGTTACTACCTTTACCTTTCTATTGTGTATATGACTTATTGAGAAACTTTTTGAATACAACTGATAATCCCTTATAATCACTAGATTTTGTTTTTCAGATTTCCACCCTTTTTTAAACTTAAAAACTCGAAACTGCTCATAAACTCAAAACTGTACTGTTCATTTAAAAGAATGTTGTCGAGTTTATTGACAGACAGACACATTTCTATAAAATAATTGCTCAAAGCTACAGAGCTGATTAAGGCCAGCAAACTAACTGACAACTATTGTATTAGAGACGAGAATAATATTTTGAGTACTCGGGGATTGATTCTAGCATTTGAGTACTCAGTTGTTTTCCAAAAAAAACAGACAGTTTGTGGGCCACAACATATAACACAAAATTCATTATTCATCAATACATTACAGAATTATCTAACATACACTTGCATGGAAAAATTTGCAGTAGTTCCTCAAGATCTAAAAATAAGTCACCATAAAAATCTTTAATATTGGTCAGTCTTATTGCTAAAAAGAGGCCAGAATATTGAATTTATATTGTGGGAGAAACTCACTCCATCTTTTCTATCAATTCAAATAGTTTATTTGATTCTCTTAATGAAATTTGACTGACATATGAAAAATCATAACTTTTTTATTTCAATCAATGATCTATGTATTGATTGAAATAAAAATGATTGTATGGTTATAAATTTCTCCTAAGGAAGCTTTTAATAAACTCATATAAAATATTGTTAAGGTAAATTCAATATATTTTTTTTCTTCACAATCTTTGGCAGATATATTTTTTTATATTTTATCACTAACACCTGCATTTTATTTTATCACTTATTATTATTTTTATACCCCATTAAGTTTTCATTCAACTTTAGTTCAGAACATTGATGAATTTATCTTTTTCCAAATAAAAGCAGATTTAGCATATCTTCAATAATTAATTCAGAAAATCTATTGACTTCGTAATAAAAAGAAAAGATTTAGGGCAGAAAAATCTGCATTTTTAGTAATTTCCTGCTTAAAATTTTGATTTTTACTCAACAAAATAATTAACGATATATCTTTACTTATTTTGAAAAATAAAATTTTAGTTTTAGGTAATTAATTATAGAAAAAAGTTCAAACAAGTTGCGACAGTCAAATTTTAAGATAAAATTATTAGTTCTCCAAAGACTGAAAACTTTTTAATATCACTTTATACAAAAATTACAATGATAGTAACTATTTGCAATAATGTTAGGCTACTTATGCTATCTAGTTTAAAAAGCTTTAAGAAAGGTAAAACTTAAGTTTTTTTTAAAGGTCACTAGAGAGAAAAAGTGGCCACTAAACCTCTAGAAGTCACATGGAGAACTAGAGAAATTATTTAACTTAGTTTATCACTAAAATAATTTTTTACTCCTAGAAATAATAAGATAAGTAAGTTTTGTTTGCTGTACATGCACAGTGACACAATTATTTTATACCTGAAGAAAGAAATCAATAACAACACAATAAAAATAGTATGAAACTGAAGAAGGCCATTAAAAAATCATTGAAAATTATTAAGGAAAATAAAGTATGAAAGATATGAAAAGGGGAGAATAATCTCTGAGTCTTGGCAACTTCTGGGCAGCGGCACATGAGAAAATAAAATAAAATAACCGCAGAAAGAGATCGACTTGAATTGTATAACTCATAGCTACCCCTGGGCAAACATCCTCATGTTTTTTTTTAAAAAAAAATTGCAAGTTTAAAATCTATTTGGCACCTTGGCTATTGCAGTTGGTGCGACAGATCATGATACAAGAACATCCCCTATGAAAATCAAAGTATATGAAATTTAACTTCATTGTGTTGCTATTACATATCACTTACAAATAACTCTAAGCACTTTTAAGTTTAACACTTTTAAGTATCATCACATATCAAAGTTGGTAAGATAATTCTAATTCATTAAAGGAAATATATGAGAATATAGATTTTCATATTTTTCTTCTATGAATAACTTAGAAGTAACTTGTAACTTTTTAATTTCCGTGAAAAGTTCAATAGTTTTAATACAATCGTTATTTTGATCTCTTTAATTTAAATCAGATTTGCACTAATTACTTAAAAGCCTTAGTCTCAAAAAGATTTAATAATTTCCTTTCATCTTAGCTGTTAAAGTTTCCGATTTTTAAATTCATCAGAAGGAACTCTTTTAAAAGATATGGAAATTGAAAATAACGTATGCAAATAGGTAATTAATATGATCAAAGAAATAAATGTGAGCAAGACAATTTAAATTTCACAGTTAAAATAAATAAAGCGTGTAATACAAAACACTTGATGTAAACAAATTAAAATTTTACATTTTATCTTTTTGGTGCTGTTTTTTCCCCATTTTGAAAGCACTTTAAAATATCTGGTGTCTAATTTATATGAAAAATCGTGTTGTGGTATCTACGATTATCAGTTCACAATAAAAGGTAAATAAACAAACACGGCATTCGATGCTATGGGCTGAAATTAACTTGGCTAGTGCGCATGCTCGAACTCGTTTCCTTCCCAATATCTTATTAAAGTCCAGATTGTAGGGAAAATATAAAAAGTGAAACATGGATGCCGTTACGTCGTGTGAGGTGTCTGCTACGAAAAATGATTTCGCTGTAATAGCTGCGTAAGTATGTGTTTCGGTTTGTTTTTATGATTTTGCTTATTTTAACAAATATATTTCTGATGTTTTATTGAGATGCTTTGAAGTGTCGTCTACGATTATGCTTTTAATTTCGAATTTTTTAAATCAGTGTTTCTCGTCTCTAGCATTATTGTAATTGCAACATTTTGAGTAAGCAGCCATGCTAAATAAATAGTGAAGGAGGTGGGATGTAAATAATGCAATTCAATTGATTAGGCCGTTAACCTATTAATTTATAAAATTATTAATTATTTTGTTTTGATAAGAAATAGCTTTAAAATCTTTAATGATATTATTTGCTGAATACCTTTTTAAAATTATTTTCTGCTGAAGAAAAATTAAATTTAAAAAAAAAAACTCATCAAAAAAATTGTTTTTTGAAGTTTAACTTTATAAAATACTTTGTGTCATTATAATTCTTGTGTTGACCTCATATTCATAAATTATAAAGTTGTTAAAATGAATTGCTGTTAATAATAAATTCCAATAAATTAATAATTTGGATAAATTTTTCTACAGGTATCTCGGTTTTTTCCGTAGGTTTCTTCCTCAGGCACATTGCAATATTATGACTGGGGACATAGGTAACTTCTTTAATAAAAATAATTAATAAATAAATGAAAAAAAGGTTAATTTAAAATACTCTTTTGCAGGGATGAATATGTTCTTTGTTTAATATTCCTTACAATTTATTGCTTTAATATTTATTTTCTCTCTGCCCTGCTTTAAAATTTATTGTTGTAAAATTCTTCGGTTCTTAAAATTTATTTTTTAAATTCTTTCTGTTATGTCCTTAAAATTAATCATTTTAAAATTCTGTTATGTTCTTAATTTATTGTTTTTAAATTCTTTCTGCTGCTGTCTTTAAAATTCATTATTTAAAAATTCCTACTGTTATGTTCTTGTTGAAAGTTTATTTTTTTAAAATTTTTTAAATCTTAGCTAATTTTTTAACCTTTTTTTTAAATTCGAAAATAATAATTCTTTTTCTCTTAATGATATCTTGGTAAACTTCACTTAAGTATTTCAATTCAAATTTTATATGCTGTGAAGAATAATGAAAGTGTGTCCTAAGTTACTTCCATAATCTGCATTTTTTCATCTCCAATTTAAAGGAGAGTGGAATGCATTTTTAAATCTAGTAATTTTTTTATGCGAAATTTGAAATTTAATCTAAAAAAAAAACATATTTTTTTATTTCACAGATTTATGCTAATTCATGAATTATTCCTAGCTAAATTCCAAAATATCTTGTAAAAAATAGAAAGGTGTTGAGGATAAACTTTTTTTTAAAATCTTTTTTTTTAATTGTATTTAAATTTAATACCGCATTGATTTTTTATATTTTAACAAGTAAATCTGATAAAATCTATTTGGAATTTAAATATAAATATATTTCAAATTTAAATATATTTGGAATTTAAATGATAAATTTTTTTTAAATTTTATATAAATATATATTAGTACCAAGGTAGAGTCATGGTAAAATTTTCTTTTCCATTCATAGAATTGTTATTGAAAAAGAGAAATCTGCATATTTTTGGCCTTGGAACAAAAAAAATATTGAGATTTTTTTTATACCTGTTATTTTTCTTTCTAAAACATATCTGTGAGCTTTTTAGAACAAAATATTTCCAATGGATCAGTTGTTTTTTGTAGGTTACAAAAAAGTAAAGTTTACTTATTTAAATTTTTCATCAAAAAGTTGAGCTTTTTATCAGATTTAAAAAAAAAAAAAAATTAAGGGGCAGGTATTTGTGAGCTTTTTAGAACAAAATATTTCCAATGAATCAGTTGTTTTTCGTAGGTTACAAAAAAGTAAGGTTTACTTATTTAAATTTTTCATCAAAAAGTTGAGCTTTTTTTATCAGATTTAAAAAAAAAAAAAAAAAAAAAAAAATTTAGGTACAGGTTTCTGAATAATATAGTACACAAATCATTCTGGAGAAAATTTGACAGTATAACTTTCTACTTTTGGGATGTAGACTAAGACTAATTTATTGATGTAGACCAAAGGCATTTTGTAGGAAGAGAAAAATGATTTTATCTTTTTTAAATGGGAAATAGGTTAAAGTTTCTAAAACAGATGGCAAATAACATTTTTAAAACCAATTGGTTTTGTTTTTATGTGTAATGTGCATGTAGACAAATATTAGCCCCAATTTTGACATGGTTGTAGACTGGACTGACTGAAAGCATAGATTTATCAAGCTCGGGAGGCTTTCTCTTAAGGTGATTTATGCATATGGTATTTTTATTACAGTGTCCATCCTAAGTTTTTAGAAGGTTAGCCTACCCTATTTGCCCTTTCACAGAGGTAAATGCAACTTTCTTACCCTGCTTGTAAAATTGTTTCTTTTTATAAGAAAAGAGATTGCAGTAGCAGCAACTTCAGATTATTACAACTGCTGCAAATTATTTTTAGGCAACTAAGTTAATGTAAAATATTATTATTTGATTATTTTTAATTTCATTTTAGAGAACACTAATCTAGCTAGATATAATGAGCCCTGTAGCAGAATTGCGACGACATTGTAACAGAACATTACAGAGTTTTTTCAGAAAGATTTTTCATTTGGGAAGGGTTGGTTTTCCTTTCTGCATAATTTTTTGAACAATGTTTTTTTTCTTTAATGCTGAATTTTTTTCAAAATGATTTTCTTTGCGCATCAGAGAGAAAAGAAATAATCATGATTTTTCTATTCTCATTTGAGATTTTATGAAAAATCGGTAATGACTGGCTTCAGCTAGAATTTCAAACTAATAATATAAAATAAAAAATTCAGAAATCGAAAGTTTAAGATTCATTTCGCTCTGGAAATAATGTTCTTTCTGTCATTTTTTTTTCTTGAACAGGGTGCATAGTGTTTTTAAAAAGTGCTTATTTTCGACTTTTAAAAGCCATTAAAGGTGTTTTTTTCATTGGGTGTTTTTAAAAAGTGCTTAATTTTCCCCTTTTCAAAATGAGATTTTTCCTTTACTATGTTAATTTTTGCTTCGAATTATGCAAAAAGACACAGTTCACATTGTTCTATTCAACGTTTTCATAATTAATTCAACCCCAATCTATTTCGGCTTATAGTCAGTCTATAACGTATGAAAACGCCATTCGTTTTACATGATTAAAAAAATTTCACGATTTTTGACAATTGTCAAAAACAATGCCAAAAGGTTTTTTTTCTGACATGACGGTTAAAACAAGATAAAACCATTGATTGTCAAAAACTTTCCAACCCAATTTCCAATTATGATATTTTTATTATTTCCAATTATAAAGTGCTTAAAAATATTTTTTGAGTGCTTGAAAAGTACTTAAAAGGTGCTTATTTTTTGTTGAATAATTTGGCTACACACCCTGTTTAAAGAACACCATATTTTACATTTTAAGGAGACCATACATTTAACCATATTTAAGGAGTCCTATTCGTGTGATTCTTTTTTATTCTATACTTTCTTTTGTAAATACAACATTTCTGTTAATTTAAATTAGTAATTGTCATAATTTAAAGTATCTTAAAGAAAAATATTAGTGCTAAGGAAGTTTGTCGCAGAAAGCAAGAAAAAATTCTGCCACGGGATAATTAGCAAGATTAGTGCCCATCGAAACAGAAGGTGCTCAGGTTTTTGAAAAAATCACTTTGCCCTTTTTTTATTTTTAGGGAGATCTCTGATTATTGGCTATAAAATTTTTCTAATGTAACTAAAATTCTTTTCTAGCTAGCTTTTTAAAGAAAAATTGTAAGCCATTTTTAAATGATACATTGAGCCCTTGAAATACTTCATGTTGTTTAGAGACTGGGTCAAATTTTTTTTCTTATTATTAACATCCATTGCTTGATCTATTTTTATTAAAATTACCCAGTTCTTTTATTGTAAAAAAGAGGTGCAGTAGTAACTGGATAAATCTCTAGCTTTTCCGTGACTCAAAGGTCTCAGATTTGATTTCAGCTGGCACCAAAGCACATTTTACTCTAAACTTTTCTTCTGCAAAGTAAATAAATTTAAAATTGATATTTGCAGCTATCTCTCAAGTTATTTGTATAAAGCAAAATTCATTTCATATGAATTTCACCATGCATTTTTCATTTCTTTCTTTGTACACAGATATAAATGTTTTGGTTAATTAAGAAATCAATTAAAATACAAGTACAGTTAGTTTTTTTAATTGTTTAAAGTTTTTCCAATTATTTTGCAACTAAATGAAGATAGTTATTACTAGGACTGCAGAATATGTCTAATCGCACAAACAAGGTTTTGGGGAAATTCAGGCAGTCCTTGGGAAATTTTTTTCTGATTGAAAGTAAATTGCTACAAAGCTTTTTACCTAAAAAGAATGTGTTGCTAAGTGTGTTTTAACATTAATTTTTTATAAGTCAATCTTTTTATGAGTGGAACCTTAAATTTAACTTTATATATTAATACTATTTTAATATATTTTGATTTATGTTATTTTTCACACATTTGCAAGTTTTGTCATGAATTGTGAAAAATTGAATAATTTTTTTTTTTCAGTTGAAGAAATTTTTTTTAAACTATACAAACTTTTCGGTATAAAAATGTTTTAGAAAAATTATTGTACCTAAAGAAGAACCTTATAATCTTGGGGAGAAATTTCAAACCAAAAATACTGTGTTCTGAGAAGATATTATGCTCCAAAAATTGTTTGCTCCCTTGGTTAATACTTTCCTTTAGATTTTTTTAAAAACAAATTTCCTGTAATTTGAATCTGTTTCTGTGAAATTTTTCTTTGCAACAATTGTTTTTTTGTTGGAACAAATTTTAGTAGTGGCTTTTCTTTAGAACCTGACTTGAAAATTTTGTATTATGCTTAGAATTTTTTTTTTATTTTTACGATAAATATTTTAGTTGACTTATATTGAATCAGTTTGAAACGAAGTGCCAATAATTTAAATCACAAGCTGAGTTTATGTGTGAACCATTGTATAATATCATCTTGTGGTCTGAATCATGTTTCAGACTAGAGATGAACTCAGCCCTGAGTCCAGTGCAGGCTTGTTTACTGAAAAATAGGTTTTAGGCTCAGTTTCATGAACTTTTTTACTACTTTCAAACAAACATTTAAATCAGCAATAAATTATTTTAAAATTTAGAAATTATCTTCTTTTGTTCAATGCATTTGATTTGCGAGACTAACTCTAATTGTCACATAAGTTTTATTTAGCTTAAGATTTTGATATTTTTTCTGGAGAAACAGGATTGAAAAATTCGGGCTTTATCCGGGATATATCTCCAGCAGACTCGGGCTCTAAGTAATCATGAATCTTTGGCTCGGACCTCCAAAAGTGAGTTCGGAGCAATCTCTATCGCTACGAAGACTCCCCGTGTAGTAAATGGAGACTGGTGCACGTTGAATCTGTCGAGTCTCAAAGTCCTCCATGTTCCCACAACAAATCAATACCTCTGGGGGTACTGATCCAGGAGTTTCCTTGTCTTCTGGATTGGTTCAAAATTACAAGACTACGGAGTTGAACGTAAGTAGTCGTAAACCCATGAAATTGGGTCGGCTGTTCAACGACGGTTATAAAATAAAATAAAATAAAATAAAATCTCTATCGCTAATGAATTAGCGCATGTGATTTTATTCACTGAAGAAAAAAAAAGTCAATGCATTTATGTTATGCAAATTTTGGAAGTGAGTAAGAATAAGTTTTAAATTCTACCATAAAATTTTAGTTATTCTTCTTAGTCATTAGTTATACTTATTCAATTATGTACTGCATATATATATTTTTTAAGCATGATCTCATTCCTATTTCAGATGAAAGAAAAATGATGAATATTCATAGTTAAGTAGTCCATAAGTGTTTATGTTGACTAGTGGAGCAACACTCTGAGCGAGGTAATTCAGCATATAACACATTATAGAAAATTAACTTCAGGCAATTCCACCAATTACGAGTGTCGTATTTGCAAACTTAAAATAACGAATCCTTGATTTAAAAAAAATCAAGCAGATCTAATATTTTTTTCTGAAATTTTCTTGGTGACGCTTTTACTTTAAATTCTTCCACTTACTCTAAATATTAATAATTTATAGAAATTAAAAAAAAAAGTTTTAAACATTTAATTTTTTAAAAAACTCGAGTTAAGTATGTATTTTTAAAGTCTGCAAGTATGACGTTCATAAATGGTGGGATTGTACTTTTATAGATGAAATGAAAGAGTTCTTTACCTGAATTACAAATTTAAAAGAGACCATTATTTCTGTAGAGATAAATTATTTCTATAGAGTCATTACAACGCATGACAGATCAATGGCAAGTTCTCAGCTTATATATTAAGATATCTTAAGTTTCACCACACACCATTTTCTTACTCATAAGAACTGTTCTTTCTTTAGTTTTTACAATTAGAATTAGCTTATATTGGTATCAGATAGTTTTTTTTATTAATAATGAATAAGTTGCTTTCTTTTGACAGAAGTATTTTGCTGAATATATTTCTCAATAGAATTTCAGTGGATAACTGAAATATTAATTTGAAGTGACATTAATTTCACTAGAATTTCTTATTTATATCAATGTTAAAATTTGATCTCTGATTTTAAAAATTCTTCCATACCAATTTTCATTATTTGAAGCTCAATTAAAAAGAAATTTTACATTTACTATTATGTAACATTTTACTATTTCTTTTCAAATTTATTAAAATCTTTATTCAGTTAAATTCAATTTCAAAATTGGAAGATTTTATAAATAACTTAAAATAATGAGAATTGACACCTTATTATCACTAATTTCTTTTAAGTTGTTTAAAATGATATGTGTACAAATAAATCCTATATGTGAAGGGTTTTGGGTAACATTGTGATAGGCCACACATAGGCTAGAACTTATAAAGTACTTATATTGAAATAATAATAAGGATGAGTTAGAAGTAATTTTTACATTAAACTAATCCTTAGCATTGTTTCAAGGTAGGTAATTTGAAAGCTTCCTGAAACTTCACTAGATATCAGCACAATATTATTAATAATCATATTGGAGTTCTTTACCAAAAACATTTTTCTGAATAATTTTCAATTGTGGTTTATCATTAAAATGTTCTTAAAGTTTTATTCCTTAATGATGTAGTGTATTATTTATTTATTTAGTATGTATTGTAGGAAAAGGAGTTTTAAATTCAATAAGGTTTTTTTTAAAAAAGAAATTTATTTGAACATAGTACAAATTTTACTAAAAATAAGACATTACAGTTTTTACATAACATTTTACAACTGAAGTGCAAAGTAAAATATACAATTTTAAAAAGTAACTTAAAAGAATTCTAAATAATGTACAACTCAGCATATACAATTACAATGACATATTTAGTAAAAATTACATTTTATTTTATGGAAAATAAGTTATGACATTAATAAATACATGAGATAGTATAGTTATCATTTAATTAGTAATTAATGTGACCTATCATTCATGAATGTCCATCATAATGCTAACATTTTCTGCAACTGCATTTGGAGTTATTTCAGTTACTACTCTGTTTTCAAGTATATCACTAGAAGAGAAAATATTTCAATATAAGTTTTCATTTCTATTTCTAGTTAAACAATTCAATCTGAATAATTATCATTGTTACTTTGTTGTTAATCACTTGATTTATAGATTACAAATTAATAAATTGCTTACATCATTTATGTTTTCTGTATTTACTTTAGATTAGCATAGCAACTAAATAACTGTTAAGAGGTGAAATATAATGCTTGAAGATATTAAAGTTTTAGGGTAACCATTAATTAACTAGGGTTAACATAATCTACTTGAAAACATGCAAAATCTAACTAGGATTTCATCTTGAAAAGGGTCTACATTGAAGAAAGTTTTAATGTATAAAAATTGTTGATAAATCAAAAAATAAGAAAAATAATTTTTAAGATATCATTAAGTTCATATTCATTTTACAAGTTATAATATAATTAATAGTTTTAGTATTTTACATTAACTTAGCCTAAAAATAATTTGCAGTAGTTATAAATAATCTGAAGTTTCTGCTACTGCAATCTCTTTTCTTTAAAAAATAAAATATAAATCTGAATTAGAAAGAGGCAACATTTTATTAATAATCTTTTCAGTACTATGTAGCCTTATTTGGATGCATATATCATAAAATTTTAATTTTTATTAGTATTATTAAGTTAATCAAGTTAAACAAACTAAAATTCTAGTATGAATTGCAGTAATTATATTATAAAAAATAATTTACAAACTGATTTAACATAATAACTGGCTACATTCAAAATTACTGATATGGTAATTATATTTTGGCATGAGCAAATTTTTCCGGTAGTTTTAAAAACAATCATTCAATGATTTTTAATTTGAAAATTGGAGCTTACAAATTAGTTCTGTGAATTTTATAAGCCCCTCGAAATGTTTATAGAAACTTACTTTTTAAAGAAGTTTACATATGGAGTTGTTTTGTCTGATAACTAGTATTTTCTGATATCGATATTACATCAATGGTTTTACACTCAACTAAACATGTGTTTAACTTTTCAGGTATAGGTGTATAAGAACTGTCCCACTATTTTTAACAATAACGTAAATCACTAAAATTGTAATAGCTTTTATCCTCTTGTTTCTACCTTTTAATCAAGCACTAAAGTTTTTTGAAATTATAAAGATGAAGCAATCTCTTCATTTTGAATGTGCATGAGGACCACAATTCTTTTGGCTCTTATTCACTAAAATTTTTATTTCCTATCAAGGGTTGAATATTAATGTCAAAATTATCTGTTTAACTATCAAACTATTAAAATAAAAAATGATTAATCTATTGTTTAATTGATAGTTTTGAATGGTTAGTCAAGTAAAAAAATATGACCATGATTTGGAAGCTCACATTAAAATAGCAGATTGGATATTGTTTTTAAATAATATGTTATAGTTTTTTTAAATTTTTTTTCTTCCAATGCTTATATTTATATTACAAGCTTAAAAAAAATCGAAATGTGCATAAATATACATTTACATTGCATATTATACATTTACTTTTATTGTATACTGTAACATGCATAGTAATTGAGTCAAAGGTTAATTTTTTAGCTTTCTTAAAACTCCATAAAGAAAATATCTTGGGGTGTTTTTAATGTGATGACATAAGATCACTGGTTCCTGTCAAAGGAATAAATGAAGAGTGAGAAGTACAAGAACAATACGACAGGAAGAATGAGGCTTAAGTTAAACCTTTGGTTTTTATCCAAAGATAGAATTTTTCATCATGATTTTTCTTCTTGTCCTAAACATCTAGGCAAAATCAAAGTGGCTGTTTTAGAATGTTCAAGAAATTATTGGGATTTTAATACTAAGGATGCCAACTGTTGTGCTTTTTGCAAAATATTTTATAAAGGAAGAATATATTTTATAGAATTAAATATTTTATAGAATAAAAAACTAAAATATTTTATAGAATTAAAAACTAAAGCTTGCTGTTTTTTTTTCTATGTTTCTAAATTTTTAAATCTTACTAGGAGTAACAAGAACAAAGTGAAATTTTATATGGTAAGTAAAAATTATTGTTGTAGTGTAGTGATGAACACAGTCACTTCAAATCAAATTTCTTATACAATGAATTCTCTAATAAAACATAAATGTTGCTACAATTAGAAAAAATTTGCTATGTGGAACAAGTTGGTATCCTTGTTGTCATCTAATTATCTAGCTTCGATTCAATTGCTATGCATGTTTTATATATATTACTACCAATTTCAAAAAATTACAAAATTTATTTTTGCAAAATAAGTCATATACTTTAATGCATCAGTGTAATTGCATTGATAAAATGCAAAAATATTTTGTAACAATATTTCTTAATTTCACAATATTAATAGTGCTAATTGATTGTAGGGAAAAAAAGTTCCTTTAGTGGATAATAGAAATTAAATTGCACACTTACCACTCCAGTACAGGTTCATTGCTAAACATTTCTACAGGTACAGTTAAAGGTGTTTTTTCAGGTATTAAATCTCTGAGATGTGCTTGCTTGGCTTCTAGTTTTGCTTCTAAGTGTCTTTCAATTTCTTCTGAAGTCATATGCCCATCATGGTGACTCACTACTAATGGTTCAGTTTTAATATTTGACACAGCAGGCTGTGATGCATTGGCTATAAAATTTTAATTTCATAGTTTACTTATTTGAATTAACTTTTTATAAATAAATATATTTACATAGTCAACTTTTTAAAAAGTAATGTATTTTTTATATATAAAGGAGTGTTTCAATATGGACAAACTAATTAAAGTAACTTCTTCAATGAGCTTACATTTATATTTTTTTGAAAACTTTTTTATCAACTTAATTTTGCACAGTATTTTGACAGGCTGGTTTTTGTCATGTCATATGACATTAATCTAGAATATTTTTACATATATTTATCAAATATACCTACATATATTTGATAATGTATTTTTTATGATGGTGAGAGATTTTAATGATTGTGCAACTTTAATTTTTTTAATGAAGAAAGATGAAATAGAAAAAATAAACCAATGTTTAGTATCTTTTAAAATGAAATAAATAAATTTGCATTATTATTTTGTGTTTTTCATTGTTTATAAGAGAAATTTTATTTTAATAAATTTAGGATGCTATTGTTCAGTATTGAATGACGGTTCAGCCCTCAGCACCTTTCCTTTTTTGTAACAGTTTTATTCTTAGAATTATTACTGTTGAAAAAGAAGAGCATATGATTTCTCTCTTCTTTTTCTGCAATGGCGAACAAAAATTTACTTATTATGTTTGTTAAAGAATTAGTATAAATGTGTTAAATATAGTCCATTATTAGTATAAATTATTAGAGAGCTATTTTTGGACCAATCAGTAGTAATTTTTACCAGGTTCTGTTAAGGTTGTTCTAAAGGTAAGGTTAAGTTCTGTTTAAGGTTGTGCAACAAATCTGAGGACAATCGCCAATACGAAGTCAAGAATCGCCAAAACCTTCAAATTTTAAAATAAAACCCATCCCCACATTTGTTTTTTCATGAAAAAAAATTTGTCCAGGTATAAATAAATAGGTTTCTTCAGAATGAATACTTATTTATACAAGAATAAGACATAGTAGTATATGCTTGATTGTTGCAACAAGATTAATAAAAGAGATGGTTTTTGAGAATGAGTATTTTAGTCTTTTTTTCTGCCTTATAAATTGCATAGTGATTAAATTACTGAAATGATTATTTACAAAATGTAAAGCATATATCTTAATTGGGCAGTTTTAAATTTTAAATACAAACATAAGTAAATGAAGGGAATTTCTAGATACATTGTGAATTTTTTATATTCATAGAATGTAAATGCATGTTTTAATTATTTGTTATTATGCTCAATTTCATTTTAATATAAATGAATTCTTTGCCTGTTTTATAATGTACAGAAAATTATTAACCTTTTACTTTTCATTGAATGAAAAAAAAAAGACTATAACAGCAATTGTCTTTGTGTTTCTTTTTGAAATATTTAAATTAACAAAAAGTTTTTGTGCCTTTCAGTCCCTGCACTGTTTGAATTGATGTAATAAAACGGGAAAAGTAAGATAAGCAGTAAATAATTGACTAATTATATGAGATGTTTGGTTTTTTAACTGATATTTTTAATTGATTGGATTAGTTTCAAATATAAATTTGCCACAGATTAATCAGTTCTACATAAATTGTAATATAATCTTATTAATTTACTGTTCCCTGCTTCCTAACTGGAAAACATATATTGATGCTAAATGTTGGTCACTTTTAAGTGATTTGGTCACTTTTGAGTGAGCAGATAAAATATTGAATTCCTCATGGTGAGGTGAAGGCTAAGTGATTAAGATAAGCATTAAATACTATGGTATCCTTAATATGGGATAGACGGAAAAAGATACAAAAAGAAAAGAAAAAAATGCATGCCATACAAAACATATAATATATGAATACAGGTAATTAAAATTTAAAAATCATAAAGTAAGAATAAAATTAAATAAATGTGGATTAAATAAAATATCATTATAAACAAACTATTAAAAGTACTAAATTAAAATCAAAAGCTAAAATAGTAAATCTGAAATTACTAAGATAAAAGTTAAACATAGGTTCAAAATAAAAACATTAAAATAAGTCTAAGTTTAGAGTTCATGATTTAATTTGGGAGTTAGAACGGGAAGAGTCTTAGTCACACACATGATTAAAAGTCTGATTATCAATAATCACTAAAAGTAAATAGTCACGTCTCATGAAATCTTCTAAGGTGTACATATTTGATGATTATAGAGCAATAAAAGTCCACACATGATAGGGGAGTATAGTGCGAAGGTCAAATGATTTACACCATTTAATCTCTAATCTAAATTGTCATGGTGTTGTGTACATATTTGTCAGGATTAATGATCAAATCAAACTATGTTTCTTATGTAATTTTAAGGCTATAAATAAAGATTGTTTATATAGAAAGAAAAGTTTATTTAACAATGAAGCTTAACTGAAATGTTACATAACTAGTTTTAATTTTTTTTTTTTTACATCAATAAACAATGATTGATAATCCGCAAGAAGAAATAATACAGTAATGGAATTATTTTTAAAAATGCAATAATATTAATGGCTCAAATTAGGTACTCAAAAAATCACTGAAAATATAACTTCAGTGTAAATTTTCTTAAAAAAAAATTTTTTTTTTGGAGAATTTTTTGAATCTTTAATGTGTTTCCCCCCTTTTTTTACATTACTACAATAACTTTGAAACCCTTCAATTTAAAATATTCATCTTTATTTTACACGAGTTTGTTAATAATACTGAACTTACTTTGTAACCACTCCTCTGTTCATTGAAGTTTTATACAATACTTATAATACAAATTTCGATTTAAATACACTTTGAAAATTACTAAGTAATTGCTTATACAGATGGATCCTCTGACTCTGTCCTTGGTAAAGGCATTGCTGGAATCTATTTCTTGTACCCAAACGGCGAACATGAAGTATTCCTGCTGGAAAAATTTCTTCAAACTATATGTGCCCCAAGAAATAATTGCCCTTGTAAACAGAAGAGAATAGTTGCAGCCCAAAGAGCATACACTTTGCAATGGACGTAGACATTGTCACTTCACATAGACGTCGTCAGCAATGAGCAGACTGATAACCTAGCCAAAGAAGCCTGAAACTCCCCTCAACTTTCCAATAGTCTAATCCTTACTGATGCAATTCCATCCAAGAAGAACTTAATTGCAATTGCGTAATTTCAACTACCATAGCCAGACTAGGCACAGGACACTCTAAAGGAATGAAAATATCCCCTGATGGACAATACTTGCCCTCACTGTCCTGAAACTCAACTTTCTCCTGGTCATATTTTTAATTGTCCTTCTAAACCCCACAGACTAGCAGCTACTCTATTTACTGAAGATCTTCGACAGTGCCAGGACTGCTTCGGAAGCCTTTGGTGCTATTTCATTCCTCTGCACTACTTGCAACAACAAAAGACAACAACAAAAATTACGCTTTTCCTGGTGGAGTAACGTGAAAACTGAATCAATGAGTTAGCATCAAGATATTTTCTGTTAGTCTTTGATAATTTTATTTAAGTGGAGGGCAAATTGTAAATATAGTCATCACAAATAAATGTTGCTGGTATTTTAATGTGGACAGAATTTTTCTGTCATCAGAATTTGAAATTTCACATTATCAAAGGGTAATATAAACATTGTGTTTTATGTTTTTTTTATGAAAATAACTTACTGAGACTTTACAGGTGTTATATGAAGCTCACAAAATATAAGCAATAAATAAAAGTTGTTGAACGTTAAAAGAATTTTCGCTAAAGCCATACAACTACTGTAGACGACAACAGTCACTGTTCATTTCACCTTTCATTACTAACATAAAAGTTTTTGAGTATTAGGTAAACAATAGGTGCCCAGACAATTAACTTTGGATAATATTGGATCTAAGTTCATTATAATACTGATATCCCAGTGTATAAATTGACACTCTATTTTTGATAGCAAGATAGCAAATTTCTGGCATGTCGGGGCAAAAGTCAACTGCTGAAAAAAACCAAACATAAAAATTTTTAAAATTAAAAATATTTCACATCAGAAACATCTCTTATAGACGTCAAATGATAGATTTGTTGTAAAATGTGGATTCGAATGTTATTGTAAAATCTTTTAAACAAATGTGTAATTTCGAGTTCTTAGGATGGGATTGAAGACTCTTTTTTGTGAGACACTGCAGATGAGGATGATATAGAATCCCTGTGATGGGATTAGGGATGCACTAGATGATACTGCCAACATTATTGAATCCTGCATAAATGTTCTGGAATCTTTAATTCAATAATTAATTTTTTAATTAATTTAATTTGTAGTTTTATGGTCTATCTTAAATGTTATCATTGTGTTTTATTTTTTGAAATACTCTACAATAAATTATCTTAACTTTAGCTATTCTAACTTTTTTTCTGAACATAATTTAAAGTATTGTTTCTAAAAAAAAACTTAGTACAGAAGAAAAATTTGATGACAGAATATTGCCAAAATTAATTGTATATAACATATTAAAAATAGTTTTTGAAAGTGGTAATTCGATTCAGAGTTATTCATATCTCATTGTTTATAATGCATAGATATTTCAGGATCAACGATTGTCCGCTTTTATTACCAGTGTATGAGTAGAGCCCCTGATTTTTATAAAATTTTAGGAGTTTAAAACCTTGACTTATACACCCTTACCTACGGTGTTGCAGTTCTTTGCAGTGCAAAAGCAGAGAATGAAAACTGCAACAATGTAGCAGAATGGTTTTGTTCACGACAGCTTATATTCAAGTTACGATGTAATTTTTAAATGCTGGTAGAATACTTTTTGTTTTGTTGTAAAGGCATTTATACGTAATTTGAAATTAAATTAATAAAGGTTCCTTAATTATTTTTTTGGAATTTCAGATGGCTAAATAAAATTATTTTATCTAGTGGAAGTTGTTTATTTTTAAAGATACCCAATTATTAAAGTATTGTTGCAGATCATTCGACATAATTTTTGCTTCTGGGATTATATTGATCTACATGAAAAAGTTATCTTCTGAGGAAAAAAAAAAGTTTTTGTGTCAGTGGTTGATAACTTCATAAAATCATAG